ACCGCACCGCATAACGTGTTTAGAACTTCCGTTGTGGGTTTGTGTTTCTAATTTTTAAAACCGCACTACATGGTGCGCTTTGCGGTTTTTAACTATTAAACCACGGTTAAAACTGCCACCGCACTATATATATATATATATATATATATATATATATATATATATATATATATATATATATATATATATAATCATTCTACACAAATAAAATGAGAAAGAAGTTCGTTTATTTAATTTTATAAATAGAATTAGCATTGTATGATTGTTGGTAGAAATTACAACTAAAGTAATTAAGAATCTTTAATGAAAATGCCATAATTATATGATTTATTGTTATGTCGAACAAAAAATTAAGAAATAAAGTTAGAATATGATGACGCGCCCCTCAAAGCGAGCCAGAGACAAGAGTACCCCCGACGAGGAGTTCCTAATGAAGCCTGGGATGGCGGCTCGGCCGTCCTGACCGCCCGAGACCCATGAGTGGCGACCGCATGGGAAGTCTGCCCTCGCTAAAGGTTATCCTCAGCTACAGTCTAAGGAACACGACTCCAGGCGACAAAGAACACGACCTGAGCACTATCGCCTGGACCAATCGTTGGACCACACACGAACGTGGAGCATGGTCCTCCAATAAGGACGGTGGATCTCGTCGGGGCTGCAATCCTTGTCCCTCGTACGAACCGAGGAGGATCCTAAGTATAAAATGTCGGTCACTCTGCCTTGAGAGGTAAGCTATTCTCTCCAGACCATTCACCTTAATACTTCCATACTCATCCCACTAACTTGACCGTCGGAGTGTCTTTCCGGGACTTCCCCTCGGAAGGCCGCTGGCGTTTTCTTCCATCTTTTTGACCTCTCAAGTTCTATTCCATCGATCATCTCACATCAGCCAAGGTGGTTTGGAGCTAGGTCGCATCATTTGGCACCATCCGTTTGTGTGACAACAGATACGCAAACCCTTTTCTCTTTCTCTTTCAACCTAACCACACATGACGAAGAAGAAGGTGGGTGAGCCATCGGAACAACCACATAGCCCCATACATCCGATGGCGTCGTTGGAAGGAACCAACACTCCAACAACGCCATCCTCTAATGGCCCGCCACCATCTCTTGAAGTAGTGCCATCCTCTGGTGGTCTGCCACCACCTCTTGAGGCAGCACCATCCTCCGACGGCCTGCCCACTATGTCTTGAAGTGACACCATCACCAGTGACCTACCACTACCTCTTGAGGCAGCGCCGTCATCTGGTGGTCCACCACCGTATCATGTGACGATACTATCACTAGATGGTCTACCAATCTTCGTTGCAACAACCATGCAATCGGTCTTAACCCAGAACCAAACATCGCCATCTACCCTGACCCACGCAACACCCCCACCATTCCCAAATAGCGGTGTGCCTGACTAGTACCTTGTGCCCCCTTTGCCACCATTATTCCCTAACACCACCGGTTTTAGCAACTCCCAAACAGCACCCATAACGCCTTTCGTAAACAGCTTACATGCGAACAATAGTATAATAGGCCCAAGTGTTACACCACAACCATATAACCACCCATCATTGATGGCGGGCACTGTGTCAGCACTACCACTCAGACTTTACCAACAAATACCCATGGCCCAACAGTAAATACCCATGGCCCAACAGCAAATACCCATAGCCTAACAGCTGATACCCCATGACCCAACAACAAATACCCATGTCCCACACTTTCCCTACTCCATTTCAACCGTCAAACTTCTACGACTCAGTAACGCCAAACCTCACGACCTATAACAAAATGTTAGTACAACCCTTTTTGGCAATGCAACAGCCAGGGTATCACTTCACTCAGTGGACCCCAAACCAAGATTGCTTGTCACGAAGGGGCACATCACTGTTCGTCATAGAACTCTTGGAATACGAAATCCCTAACATTGCCAAACTCTCCCACCTTAAAACATATAATGGTACTACCGAATCAGATAGCCACATTGACACACACGAATGGACCATGACGTCCCTCAAGTTAGACGAACGGCTCTGGTACACATACTTCCCCACTACCTTAGATGGAAATGCAGGGAAATGGTTTAAGACACTGCGCCCAGGCATCATCAGCAACTTTAGCCAACTGAAGTGCCTTTTTCTAACTAACTTCATGCAACTCCGGAAGTACAAGGTTGACTGTCACTCGATCATTGGGTGTAAACATAGAGAGGAGGAGACAATCAAGGACTATTTCGCAAGGTTCACCAAAGCAACGCTAGATGTCCCACAGAATGATGAGGGGTTGATCGCGAGAGTATTCACATGGGGATTGTTACCAAGGTCGTTGTCCCATAAACTCATGGTCAAGCAACCCCAAACAAGAGCGGAACTAAAGGAGTGAGTGGAACGATTCCTACGCCAAGAATAAGGTGAAGCAAGCATATCTCAATGTCATGACATCCTCTGCTGGCAAACGAAACCACCACCCTACTCCCCACCACGATCCTCGGGGGGGGGGGGGGGGTGGGGAGGCAAGTTTACAGGGTGAGATAGACGGTTGCAGGGGAGTTTCAGACCTTTCATTAAAGATGAGAGGCGGGAAAGACGACATGAAGTCTACACAGTCGATGAGAAACCGGCGACAAAAGGCACCAAGACGCGGTATTGTGAATACCACGAGAGTAGGAAACATGAAATGATCAACTGCTCAGTCCTAAAAAGGGAAATTGAAGAAAAGCAACTAAATGGAAACGTGATAGAAATTTCCAAGAGCATACGAGCCAAATTTGATGCAGAAAACCCCAAAGATGCCGCTGGAAGGGCAAATTGTAGGTTAGAAATCCTTGCGATTCACCACAAGAGGGGGAGAGCAGAACACACAACAAATGCACTAAGCATCACAAAAGCAATGCAGGCGATGATGTTCTCCATGGACGACCCAAGCCCAACCGGCTGGAGCAGGGACAACCCCTTAGTCATCTAAGGATCCATTCGAGATGTCATCTTTCACCGAGTGTACGTTGACACAGGAAGTTCTGTAGACATCATCTATGAACATTGTTTCCGGATGCTACCGAATGCGTGGAAGGAAGGCCTGAGGCCAACTGCAGTCCAACTCATAGGATTCACAGAGCACATCTTGTGGCCCTTAGGTACGATTCACCTACCGTTTACACTAACTGGCCAAGAAAAAACCAAGCGACGGACCGCCCTGGTGGATTTTGTGGTCATACGACATCCCTTAAAACACAATGTTATATTAGGGCGGATGGCTCTACTAATGTTCGGAGCAATCTCATCAACAATCCATGGGATAGTGAAATTCAGCACAAGTCGGGGATCAGGGTTAATCCCAGCCACTCCCTCAAGGGAGCTCAAATGCTACGAGATCATGCAACCAAGAGACATCTCAGCTGAAGCCAAGGGACCAAGACCAGACTCATCAAATGGGGGAGAGATAATTAATGGGGAATACCCAGACCAGTAAGTGAACGTGGGAACGACCCTTCCTGCGAAAGCAAGGCAAGCGTTGGTTCAATTATTGCAGAAGTATAAACATGTGTTCGTCTGGACACCCACACACATGGTGGGGGTCAACCTAGGAATCATAGAACACAAGCTAATGATAAAACCAGGAGCTAAGAAATAAAGCAGAAGAAGCGAGTCCAAGGTGGAGATCGAAAAATGGTAATCAACGCAGAAGTGGCCGAACTGAACAGCAACGGAATCCTTAGGGAAAAAATTTTCCCCACATGGATTGCCAATCCGGTAATGGTAAAGAAACACAACGACAATTGGCGCATGTGTATTGATTACTTAGATCTCAATAAATCATGTCCCAAGGATTGCTACCCACTACCGGAGATAGAACAGAAGGTAGAGTCCCTGCAAGGTTTCTAGTGGAAATGCTTCCTGGATGCATACAAGGGGTACCACCAAATCCTGATGAGCAAAAATGACGAAGAGAAGACAGCATTCTACACAGATCTCGACACCTTCTGCTACACAAAATGCTGTTTCGATTAAAGAACACCGGGGCAGCCGTTTACCAACGACTGGTCGATTCCCTGTTTGCCAACCAAATTGGCAGGAACATCGAAGTCTACGTCGACGACATGGTCATTAAAAGCCCGGACGAGCAGAGGCTACCGCGTGACGTGGAGGTGACGCTGCAAACTTTTGAAAGAGCTAAAATGAAGTTGAACCCCGCCAAGTGTACCTTCAGGGTGGAAGAAGGACAGTTCCTGGGGTATTATGTGACAAAGGAGCGGTTCCAGCCAAGCCCAACCAAGATAAGCGAGCTCGAGGAGACGCCTTCTCCAAACAGGCTAAGAGATGCCCAAGGGATGAATGGAAAGCTAAAGGTGCTCAACCGATTCATCTACAAGTCAGCCAAAAAAGCCATGACTTTGTTCCACACACTCAAAGGGTGCATAGAAAAGAATAACTTCTGATGGACACCGGAAGCTGAGTCTGTGCTACAAAAAATAAAAAAGGTGCTACACACACTCTCTACCCTGGCCAGCCCAATACCGGGGGAAACACTGCAGGTCTACCTGTCCGCATCAAAAGATGACATTTTGTCAGTGTTAGTAGCTGATAGGCAAGGGCGGCAGCTCCTGATCTACTTTGTGAGTCGGGCCTTACAGGGGCCCGAAATCAACTATTCAATCATCAAAAAGCTAGTGCTCACCTTAATCTACACAGCGCGAAGGCTCCGCCAATATTTCCAGGCCCACCAGATAGATGTGTTAACCAGTTGCCCGATCAAGCAAGTGCTCCTGAAGCCAGAAACATCCGGACGACTTGCAAAATGGACCATAGAGCTGGGAGAGCACGTATTAGCTATCATCCCAGGGTGAGCATAAAAGGACAGGCATTAGGTGATTTCCTACTTGAAATCCTAGGGGAATTTTAGCAAGAAATGATTGGTACGATCCGACAAGGGTGTCCGGAGGAAAAAACCGACCATCAGTGGACTCGTTACACGGATGGAGCCTCTAGTAAAGAAGGCTCGGGCACGAGGCTAATCCTAACCAGCCCTACGGGTGAAGAAGTTACATACACTTTACGTTTCGACTTCCATACCTCCAACAAAGAAGCCGAATATGAAGCCTTGTTGGACGGTCTCAGATTGGTAGTAAAAATGGGGGCGGAAAGGATTATAGCTCTGACCGATTCATGCCTGGAAGCCAACCAAGTCACGGGAGAATTCGAAGCAAAAGATAAACGGATGGAAAGGTATATCAAGGCGATACAACAAATCACAAGCTCACTGAAGAGTTTCACAATAAAGCAGATTTCGAGGGGAAGCAATAGGCAAGCAGATGCCCTCAGCAAGCTAGCATCAAAATGTTTCGGGCACCTCTCTAAGGAAGTTTTGGTGGAAGTATTAAAAGAGCGGAGCATTGATGAGCATCAAGTCGACTCCCTATCTACAACACAACCCAACTGGATAACGCCTATCATGGATTACCTGCAACATGGCATACTTCCCGACGATCACGGAGAGGCATGAAAAACAAGGATACGGGCCCCCCAATATGAAATCTAGGGGGTGGGGGCGCTGTATAGAAATGGTCATACGGCTCCATGGATCAAATGCATAGACGGAGAGTCATGGAAGAAGGCTCTAAAAGAAGCCCACGTAGGGTCAGCTGGAGCAAATGAGGGAGTGTGGGTGCTCACAAGAAAAGTACTATACATGGGACTCTACTGGCCAGACATACATCAAGATGTCATCGAACTAACCCAAGCATGCGTGGAATGCCAAACTGTCTCTCCAGCACAGGTAGTACCCCATCCAAATTAACGACTATAGACAGCCTGTGGCCCTTTTTATCAGTGGGGGATCGATATCATCGGTCCTTTCCTAGAAGCACCAGGGAAAGTGAAGTTCTTAGTCGTGGCGGTTGACTATTACACAAAGTGGATAGAAGCCAAACCGTTGGCGTGTATCACCAAAAAATAGATAATTAAGTTTATATGGAAAAGCATCATAATAAGATTTGGTACGCCCAAAGTTTTGATTCGTGATAATGGCTTGTAGTTCTCCGAGAATCCTTTCAGGAATTGGTGCATCGAAAGAGGAATGGAGCAAAGGTTCACATCAATGGCACATCCCTAGGCCAACGGACAAACAGAGGTGTCTAATACGATGTTAGTATAAGGGATTAAGAAGCGATTTGGCAAAGCAAAGGGTAACTGGGTAGACAAACTACCAGAAGTCCTTTGGTCATATCAAACCACACCAGGGACTAGCATAAAAGAGACACCGTTTAGCCTGGCTTATGGAGCCGAGGCGATGTCACCAGCTGAAATAATGATAGCATCAATACGAACGAAGTATTATCAGGAGCAAGAAAACAATGAAATTCTAAGGGAAATTTTGGATCTCTTAGAAGAACGGCGAGAGCATTCAAGTATGCGTCAGGATGCCTACAAAAAAGTAGTAGAAAGATA